AGGATTAGGCCCAGTTGCCAAATTATACTTAGGATTTCGGTCAATCTAACTGCTAAAACTGAGCCACCATCCTTAAAAATCTCAGAAGTAAGCCTATTAGGTCCTGCAGCTCTTCCTCGCTTCAGATTTTCTATAGCTTTCTCAACTTCATAAAGATTCGGAGGACTTGCGTCCATTTGCCATTCAGGATGACTGGAGATCGTGGGCAAACCGAAGTGTGGCTGAAGACCAGTTGAACTGACCCCTGAAGTGTTCTGTTCATCTATCCAATCTTCTGCACTGAGAATAAATGACACAGCCACCATTTTCTGAGATATTCTCACTTAAATTTGGATTCCTAATTCCGGTTTCCTTGATACGTCTGAATAGTTGCTACTGTTGCCTATCGCCGTCGCCTTTCTCGTCTCTCTCGCTTACTCAACCCCCTATTGTTCACGATAATTGCGAAAGCTTTTTATCAGCCTGCGCCTAGGCTGACTTCGCTACTCATCTCACTCAGTTCCAGGCGATATGAGCTTGCGTAGATGCTACTGAGATCCACGGCCTTTCCATAACCTTACAGTTCACCTTACTAGAAGATATCAGTGCTGTTTCCACAGCCTTTCTGATATCATTCCAAGCTACCTCAGGGTCGGTATCACTTACTATGTGGCTGCCTATCTGTTTTTCTAGTTGTTCCTGAAATATATTCTTAGCTTCATCATCATTAAGTAGAGCCTTAAGAGGTTTCTTGAAGATATTTTTCTTGCGTCCATTAAGACGCAAATAAATACGCGCTCTCACTAGAGCATGGTCTGAGTCTAAACAAGTGCTCCAGAATGAGCGGCAGTCTTCAACAGAGCCTCTCCACCGATGGCTTGTAGCGATGTGATCTAGTTGGGTCCATCATTCGATCGGCTTTGGTGGTCGCCAGGTGAAATGGTGTTTTTCCTTATGTGTGAAGTTACTGTTTGCTAGTAATAGGCGGTTGTCTGAACATAGCTGCAGCGGACGATCGCCATTATCTGTTCTCTGAGACGCGACACCATAAGATCCAACCAGGTATCTTTCCTTTTTACATTGTCTACCTACCTGAGCAATAAAATCGCCGGCCATTATTACTATATCAGAGCGCTTAACATTTGGAAGAAGTTTAGAGAGGTTTCTATAAAACTTATCTTTCATGTCGTCTGAACTACAGTCAGTGGAAGCGTAGGCAGGTACGACGAAGAGGCAACTGCGAGTTTCCGTATCCTTCCGAGTCCGTATCGTCCTGTTTAGTCGGATAGCGCACAGGCGACTGTCTACGGGGATCCAGTCTAAGAGAGCTAGTTTCGCCATAGGATTTAATATTATACCTACATCAGCAAGGACACGAGGGGCAGCATCATCACTACCTAAAACACGAAGTTTAAACCGAATTGTGTCTTTATCTGCAGTGGGTAAGATCAAATTGATGATGCGTGTTTCGGATACGCAGCACACATTCATGGCACGGGACTCCAGAGCCCCAGCTAGAGAAGTCTGTTGCTCTATTTGACCCAAAGTTCTAACATTAAAAGCTTCAACACGTAGTTAAGAGAGTGATTTCAGGAGACCAGGAATAACGTTTCATGAGCTCAGAATGTTTGCTTCAGCGGCGCGAGTTGACAAACAATCAAATAAAAGGTTGGTCGATGAGATAAAAGGGATATTTAGAGGTGTTGAAAGGATTCGGTTGTGGCTAATTTGGTTTCGTGTGCTTTTATAGGTATGAGGGCGAATGTAACTTTCCTGCTGCTCACGGTTTTGAAGGGTTCTGGTATCGGCCTCATGACTTCCGAAGAAACTCGGCTTTCATCATCAGACGTCATACCTGTTTTAAATGAAGACCTTCTAAATCCCAGAGCAGAGTTTATACGGTTTGATTTATTTTTTCTTGTTAGCGTTTTTCTGGCAAGTTAGTTTTTTCCGGCTTGGGATCGGCATTATCAGGCGGCATCCAACCAATTCGTCTTATTCAAATAATATCATGTACATTAAATTTGGTTTGAAAAATTTGTAACAGTTTTGGTTCAGTAATTGTAAATCAATTAAAAATGTCACTTATAAGCTCTCTGCGCCTAAAATGATGTTAGAACTTACTATTTTTACATAAAGCTTCAATTCAGATCACACGCCTGCTTTTCAAATAATTATAAAAGTAAGCTGTTTTAATCACGTGTTATCAATGGTCTCACCAAAATAGTTCTAAGCATAGTGATGCAAATTGAGTATGATAAATTCTTATAACCTTTTGTATTCGTTTTATTATGAAAAATCTTATCTTGAATGGTTTATTTATAGGATATATTAAAGAACAGTAATTAATTTTTAGTTATCATTGAGTTTAAAGTTTACGACAGGCTTTCCACTATAGAAAATAATGTTTGTAAAAGGTGGGATTGTTTTTGAAATCAAACTTGCACTATTGTGTCGATACATTAGCACTGTATGCGTAGTTCGTTTTCTGTCAATTCATTATGATTAATAACGATTCGAGTATTTGAAGAAAACTCCTATTGAGATAATATTATGAATGAAGTTTGCTATGAAAGACTCGCATCGTAAGATAGACTAATACTAGATATCTAGTAGTACCAAATTATTCTTGCATTATTTCAGATTACTTCAAGTAAATTGCTTCCCGTTTCGGAAGCTGAATTCCAAAACGTTTTTGTACTGAGAAAGGATCTTGACTTTCGTTTGCAATCACCTGGCTTACATGTAACATAAATAACTTATTTTAATATAGCTTATAATTTTTGCTTTAAGAAATGTTTTTATAATTCGCTTTTTGCATACATTGGTTTCACTTTCGACAATTGATTCTATATATCTTTAATAGCGATTTATAATCTGTGGCATTTAAAAATGACACAAGCCTTATCAATGCTGATGTGAGTTCATTAACATAGAAACCCGAGATATTTTCACAATAATTGGATGCCCATTCACTGAGGATTATACGTTCATCGTGGTGATCACATACTGATGCCTGCTACTCTTCATGAAGCAGAGGTCACAGACTAGGGTTCTACAACCAGCTCACTCCTAGGCTTTCTTTTCCACTTGTTTTCAAGTGTTATTCATTCTTATGGTATATCTTCGATTCTTTGTGCAACTTGTTCATACAATAACGATCAGTTGTAAATTTGTGTTAAAAGTTGAATACAAAGCTAAAATCATAAGTAAAATGAACAAGTATGTAATTATAGTGTCCCTATTGTTAAATAAGTAATGAGTAAGTCAGACAGAATGTGGTACGAAACTTTTATTTGACTGTAGCTATTGTACAACAGGAACTTTATCAGTAAACGCTTTTCCATTCATATTATTGTAAAATACATAAATGACCAACTTTAATCCATTTTTATCTGCCTAAAGTTTGAGAATCATCTATATTTCTGTATGTATGAGGAGTATTTTAATCTTTCTACGCGCCTTATCAATATAATACTGCGATTAAGAGTATTATAATGATCAGGGAAGTAAATGTTTACAACGGGAACCACGTTTCTTGATAATGACGTATAACTTGGTAAAATATTATTTTTGCTTAAAACTAGTACGAAATATTTGTTAAATTAATACAAATTTTAATTGCCTAAGCACTTTCATAAGTCAGGACTACCGTAAATAGAATATTCTGATGTCTTTTTCTTATATTAAATCAACAATACTTATTTAAAAACTCGCGTATACCAAAACGAGAACAGTTTCTTGACGTATATATGCGGTACAAATATTTTTCCGAGAAATTGGTAGTAAGCTTTGTTAATATTGAAGAATATATCGGTTTAAAAGTATTTTGGATTAAATGATGTACAATACATATTACCTTGTTAAAAATATGGGCTTTTTTGCTTTAAATCGCTCATAAACAATATACGGTATTTTGCTTTACGACAACAAGTTTTCATCTGCTTGAGATTTATCTGCTGACAGCGATTATTAACTACAGACCCCAGAATCGGCCATACTAGTGTAGTAACATGTACTAATTTTCCTTCGGATTCTGCGTCCCGGTGATCCTTCACAAATACTTATTAAACGGTCTTCTCGAAACGTATTCTCAATGTTTAGTATGTCTCATTAACATTTATAGTATTATTATCTGGCTACTTTCGTTACTCACTTTGGTAGCTCCAGATAATCACTTTTCTTTTATCGGGTATCTAAGGCTAACGCATATTTTTTCAGAGGTCTCTGTTAATTTTGATTGAAGATTAAATCTCAGTCGTGACTCCGTGAAAATCTTCAGTTCTTATAAGGCCAGCTAATACATTTTCAACAGATGCGTTACGAAAAAGTAATGATTTATACTTTGCTTAACTTGTATCATTCAGATTTATAATTCATTTGTATACAAATTTTTCACTTTTATCAAATAGTTTTGCTATTCTCAAAATCGATATTTTAATAATGAAACCTAAAATAACACCTTACAAACTTCTTTGCTTTATGAAATAAATCTTTATCCAGACTTTGTAAAACTTGAACACAGCACTCAAACCCCTTTAAATACAGGGTAAATTATTTAAAATTCACAAAACCATTCACACAAAAAATAGTCATACACAAACGATCCTTTTGTTTAAAGTATGTGTGGGTATGCATTATTTTAACACAATTTACCAAACTCATGAAATATGGCAAACCTTTATGACTCTGCTTTATCAAAAATGCCTCATTAATAATCAGCTACGAAAGCTTATCAACAATTTATAATAGAATCTTCAAGCATATAGATATTAAGGTGTAAAGCAACAAGAGCCTTTAAACAACTGAAAATGCTGACTACAGAATGCTTCAGTACTTCTGAAAGATACAAGAACAAGTTATTCTGGCCAGATAGATTTCTATCACAAGTTTGAATTAAAACTTTGTATGTAAGATAAACAAATGTAAGTTCATTATTGAGTGATAATAAAAAGCCGGTGGGTATAAAACAAAGAGTGGAGGGTTAAACGAAAACGAATAAGTTCGTTGTTTATTCAATGTCAAGTAATTGTACACTGACGCTTATTTGACTTGAAACGTAAAGCTATTCTGGCAGCAGTTTCGAACACATCGTTAACACCATCTTTCTGTTTAGCTAAAAAAGATGCATCAGAGTAAATAAATTTACCTGAACATTCAACATACGCTTGTGCTCCTATCTTTGATGCCATACTTTTTCCATCAGATTCTTTAACAGGCTGTTGCTTCATCCTTTGAAGTTCTTTTTTCGTTACAACGTCATTTCTTAAATCTTTTTTGTTTGCAACAAGTATTACAGGGACGTTTGGCAAAAAGTTTCTGATCTAGGTATATGAAAATAAAAATTCTAGGCTTTAGTACTTCAGGCATCCATTTTGCGCCAACATTCTCCAAGCTGTCAGGGCTATCCACACTGAAACAAAGTATGACAACATTTGTGTCAGGATAAGAAAGTGGACGTAGTCTGTCGTAATCTTCTTGCCCGGCTGTATCCCACAAACTTAGTTCGATCTAATACAATTAGTTTGTCAATTATTTATTTACGTGTTTTTTATCAATTTGAATCTCCGAAACAAAACTTTCAAAAATCGTCGGGACATATAATCTGGGAAACTCTCCTTTACAAAAGACATTTAAGAGACAGGTCTTTCCGCACGCTCCATCTCCTACAACAACGACTTTTTTGCGAGTAACCAATGACATAATGAATGCTTTAAGTAGTCTAAAAATGTTACGAACGCCTCCAAATAAAAATTTAAAAACGTTCTAATTGACAAATAAATAAGAAGTCGAAATCATCCACAACATTCAAAGTGGAAATAAAAAGCATTTGAAATAGTTCATGATTGTTAATTAGACATTAAATTCGATTAAAAGATATTTAAAAATACGTGTGTTAGAAAGTACAATTGAACAGAGCAACGATACCTTGTAATATCAAGGTTAAATAATGATTGCGTAAAACAATAATTGCTTTTTGTAACAGATTGAAACTAGAAATATGGTGAATAACGTATGCCAGATCCTACTGTGCTGCTGCCTGGAAAACGTAGAACCACACTTCGGGACAATAGACTTTTTAAAGTATCCTTGCTTTTCAATATCCAATATCTTTTTCGCGAGCCAGTATGATTTCTCTATGCTTGCTTCCGTTCTAGGTATTTGGCAACCTCTAATGGACGGTAAAAAATTCTGTTTTCAGATGTTTATGAATTCTTATGCACCGTTATTCGAATGTGTGCGTTCGTCTTCGGGACGTAGAAGTTCTGGATACCATGAACTACCACATTTTCAGGCCGTAGATCAGTTAGTTGTAGTGTTAAGAGTAATGACTAGAAAGTTCTTATAGGATGGTGAGAAGATTTTCGAAGTAATGCTGTTGTTGGGATGATTCACCGTACCCAATAAATTGTATGCCATTATCCGATAATCCTTTATTCTCCTAACACTGAACATGGATGCGACGTCAATGTGAACTCCAAGGTGTGGCCGTGCGTATGTTTTGACAAGAGTTAGGAACAATTCACTTAAAATAAAGTTTTACACGTTGTTCACCATACTTTTCTTTGTTGTTATAGGTATTTTTGTTTTGTTCACTTTTGATGGACCTTTAGATTTTTGAATCATCCAAACAGAATAATGCCATTGAAATGTGAGTTAACTCGTTAACATATTAGTGGACGATATTAGAACGACTGAACTGCTTCTTTACCTGAAATTCTATGTAACAGGAAGGCTTTTCCATAATCTCGAGCGATAGTCCGTAAGCCAGTAGGTGAAAACGATCAATTACCGGTAAAATTATATTGTGCCTAAGGAATTCCAATTAAACAATATATCATCCAATTTGACATGTATTTCTTAATGATGACTATTCACTAAGGTCTGTTGAATGAAACATAAAATAAAAACTACATTACTTTCAACCGTATGCAGTTCCTATGTAAACTTTTTTCGTTAACATTAGGTTACATCGCAATACTGTCTAAATGATTATGCATAATCGTCTGAAGAATTGCTTGAAGAAAACACCTTAAGGCGCATGGATGTATCAGAAATAAACTGAAAATAGACCTGCCTAATAACAGCTCATGCAATGTACAGATGCTAGCAATCATCTGTCTCAGTGAAACAGCGACATGTCGAAACCGCTATAATTCCATATCCCTAACAATGAATCTTTAAATCAGTAATATTAATTTTATAGGATCTTTCAAATGATTTTACTCTTCAATTTGGAATATTCATTATTATAGCGTTAGCGTTCTTAAGTTATTTTTCACGTTTCTGACACCCACTAAGTAAATAATTATCGTTAATAAATTTCATTTGTCTCATTTCTCTCTCTTTAATTCTAGATAATCAAGCAACTTTCTCTGAAACATGGTCTGATGTATCCGGCTTCCTAATTTTAAATAGACCATTTAATTAGTAATTTGACCGTAAATGTTGCTCTAATTTATGAGTAACTGATATCTTTGAAACTAAAATTTCTGCTGGATTATCATATCCACTTATTAGTAGTGCGGTTAGGAAGCTAGATTATGAAGACGTTTATCTTGTCTAAAATCCAGCACTTATATGGCCGTAAGTAAGCCAGTAGAGTAAATATTTCTGATGAGTCCTTGACATTGATCTTGATTTTGTTAGCTATTGATCTCTGTAAATGAAGTTGCTTCCATCAATTTCCAGTTTTTGGTAATGACGTCAGATATTAGTGATATCAACCCTTGTGTATCTGTTACCTTTTCATACCAAAGGCTATTTTAATACATATGATGTTCAGAAGAAAAGTTTCATTATCTGAAAACTTCGTAGGCTTATCATTTTGTAAAGAGTTTGATGATAATTGGCTTAAATAGGATGAATTTCATGACTAACCTGTCAGTATGGAATTCGGAAATCGTGTGCGAATACTTCCAAATAAATTAGAATTTATTGTCCTGCAAATACCTAACCGGTCTTCCAAAAAATATCGAGTTCAAAATAACTGAAAGAAGTGAAATAAAAATTGACCATATATTCTCAGAAGTATGAAAAGACTTCAGTATGTACAGTTTATGGTGAATAATGTACCTGACAGTGAAGACCTGTAGCTTTCTGAAAACACCAAAAGAGGAATATGGATCCTCTCACATCTGGTATATAACACGTAGATTGTGTGAACTCCAGAGTAAGGCATTCCTCTACATTCTGTTCAAATAAGTATTATCACTGTATCTAATCACTTTTTTAGAAATTAGTCCTTACATAAGCGTATAACGCTATTAAAAAATATTATAATAACAGCTGACAGCGTTGCCATCCATCGTGGTTCTATCAAAAATGTAAGGACCAACCGATCAACCTCTACACTGGCAGCGACGACCTCCGGCTGAATCCCAAAGTCCCGCTTCTTACTTTTTATGAGACCGCATGGACAGTGAATGCAGCTACTGTTGAAATGAATAAGACTGCACATAAAACGGTAATAACGGTAATAAACCACTCTTTTGTTGGCCTTTAACGCCTGGAGGCCCCTTTAAAGTTTCAGACGATTTTATGATCCGTATTATATGTACAGGTAGGGATGAATGTTCGGGCTGAAAGGAAGAAGCTGTGAAATTTACCATTTCTCAAAACGCCAATTTACCATTGGAGTTGTCATCATTCATCAAGATTAGGAAAACAATACTCCAGTGAGCTATCTGGTTCGCTTGGGGAAATTCGTAGCAAGTACATTGAAGCTTGTGTAAAACTCTTAAGGAAGAGGGAATTGTTCAGAATCGGAATTCTTAGTGATAGTTAACTAAACGTACATGTCACTCACTTACCTGGTCAGATAACATTGATATAATCACTTGCATATGAGTATATGTTTGGTGGTTTATAATTCCCCAAATTGTTTCATAGTAATTCATTCATCTTGAGTCTATCAAAACGGAATAGGATTATGAGGGACTCTCATTAAGATGAATCTGTAGGCGTAGACAAGACCCAGTCAGTAACTCTGAGTGAAGAGGTACACTTAATGCGCCCCGATTAGCCTCTATGAACTTTCAAGTAAAGCTTCGTACATTAAGTTCCAGTACGATCATTGTGATGTACTTACAAATTAGAAGTGTAGAGGACATTTAGTCGTAGACATTAATTATAAGCCACGCAAATCGTGATAAGCCTAAATTGATCCAGGTAACCTCTCTCAAGTCACTGGAGAGGAAATGTTACATAATTTTTGAACATAAGGAATAACCTTCATTGACTAACACTGCCTTTTTTTTATTTTTTAGCTCGTTACATATACTTAAGGTCCTTCTTTAGGTTCGCTATTAGATATCGAAGTTCGATAAACGAAAGCTTCGTCTAACAAGTCCTCAATCATTTGAACGTTTGTTTAAACTAATAAACGACTATTTGTTGTTAACTCAGCGGAAATATAAATTCCTGTTGTCAATGGAGCAGAATGAAGATTTCCTCATTACACCTTCAAGGGAATATCCATTTTTGTGTGATAAGCAAATAAAAGAATACCTTATCAAATGGTGGACTGTTTCCATAATAACTATAATTTCGTTTTAGGTCTATGAAAGGCAGATTAAAAGTTGTCACATTCACTTTTGACCGAATGTTTGTACCTTATAAAGCAGATTCCTTTTTTACAGTGCGTGAATATTAAACAGTCCTAATAAAATATTAATTAGAGGTTTTTCAACTCGATTTCTGTACAAAATGCCCTAAATATTCCACCTACCAAAATGTAAGTAATCTCACATGATCAATCTATTCTGTATGATAAATTCATGAATATTTAACCTAGTTCTGTCAAAATTAGCTATGTAAGATGTACGCTGACCAATATGGATGTTTTTCAAAAGCTTTCAAATGTAAGGCATGAGTGCGGAACCATCAAGAAGCGGCTAGATGATGTTTTTGAAACGATCCTTATTTCAGATAAATTAAGAGAGGTGAGTATCAGTAACTTTTAATGACTTCTAGTGTTTATTACTTGCAGATTCTGACTCGTATTCGATTTTTACTGAAAAAGAGAGGGAAGAGTTCCTCTTTCGCCTGTTGAAACATATTTGTATAGGAGGCGAACTATGTCAGCAAGAAGATGAGATTAAACCATACACTGATACTGTCCGCAAAATCTATCATGATTTGATATGGTACAAAAACGGATATCATAATGCCTGATTTGTAGTGTCCAGAGGAATCCTGATTCAAAAGCAATCGAAATCGTTTCCCATGTTTACGAAGTCCGAGCGTATGTAAGTGATTCAGCTGGTTGAATTTTCAAGCTCATTGTTGAGATCCTGGCATGTCAAGTAAACTTCTTTTTCATGAATAATAAGTTAACTCCTAAAACACGGTTTAAATAGGTTTCAATACATTTATATAGGTTCCTATCCCCATCGCAACCACATTTCTTCAGATTCGCACGGCTACAGTAGTTTATTCTTGAATATTTTTCCAACAAAAAGTTGATACGTCGGTTAGGCAACCAGAAGTTACGTATCAAATGCATAAACATATGTAAAAGTGTTAGAACATCCTTACTTTTAACTATTTTAACTTCAACTTTACTTGAGACGTAAATTATAACAGCTTTTGGTTGATTTTATCCCTAAATATTATGGACTGCTTGAGCAGTCATTTTATGCTAGAAATAATTCAAACATTTTTACCTGTAATGAGAAACGCAAAAATAGGGGTGCTTTATGAGTTTGCGTTAGTCAGGTAGAACTATTTATTTGGTGTTTGCATGTCTTTTTAAAATATCTTCTTACTATTTCCGTTGGTTTTTAAAAAATATGTTTACTACCCCTTGGTTACATGAGACAGAACACATTTGTTTAGAATTTAAAATTTGGAGAAACGGTGCCTTTTAATCAGCATGTTGCTGAAAACAATGTAAACAGTTACCTAAGTAAATGTAGCATTGGCTAACTGAAAGTTTTTAATTAGTCCCGAATATTTCTGAAATTGAAAAATGATCTGCTCGTATAAAACTACGGATTTATTTTGTACTAAGGTTGACATGTTGTTCATTGATTTGTATAACACCAGCTGCATTTTTAGTGAGCTTTTGTTTTGCTTGTTTTTACTATCTTAACATTTCTATTAAGGATGATCGAAATAACTTGGTGTTTCCCTCAAATGAAGAGCATTTAAACACATTCTCTTATGCAATTGTGGATCCTTCGAAAAAAAATATTATCATATTTTATCACGTTTTTGGTTGCGGAGAATTTTCATAATGTGAAATGGAATATTGTGTTAAATAAGTGTCTCTCAAGGAATATTTCATTTACAAAATTCTTGCTAACGTCAAAATGAAATAAATTCATCTCAATCTGTACAAATTTTTTCGACTGTATTATTAGAAGTGCATGTATTTTTCTTTTATACACTAGTGCTGCCACTAAATTTGGGGTAGTTCATCCCTAATCACTATAGTATACTGACTTTTAGGAGAACACGTCATCTTAAATATTCCGATAGTGATTTCACATCCAGCTGAAATCTACCACTAAATGGTAAAAAAGTTCTTATGCATGTTATTTTATTCATCTGGATAATTTGTCATGTGAGATTCCAAAATTTTTATTTGGTTTCTACCGTTAATGATTTTTGGTTGATTATTTGTGTCAAGATAGTGGTTACTGAATCCGTCTAAGTAAAATCGATAATTTGTTCTCCATAGACAAAAACTTTATGAAAATACCAATTAATTAACTAGATGTTCTTAGTTTCATTCTCATTTATCTTTCAGTTCAAAAAGAAGTGAGATAAAATTCTTCATGTCTGACTACCTAACGTATGTACTACTATGAGCAGGTTAAGAAGTTCAAAATAACATTTTATAGCTTTTACTTCTGACCAAAATTAGATGTTAAATTTGGTCAGTTTGAAACATAAAAGTGTGTAATATAAGGTTTCAGAATAGTGGATCCGATCGCAAGCTGTATTTACAGACATTTACATCCCAAACAATAACGCTATCAAAAACACGGAATTTTCCAAACTGATTTATACTACTTCATAGTGGAAAAGTAGTAATCTTAGTTATATCGTATGTCCAACTAGTTCTAACGATCCATTCAACATATTAGTACTGAATAAACATTATACTGGATGAAAATGTACAAAGAATTTATTTTAAAAAATAAGTTTTTCAAAATCAACAGAATTGCCATTGAATTTAGAGTATTTTAACTATTTATTGAACTGTTCATTTAGTGTCTTTATCGACTAACCTGGATCGCTTTTCAAAATCTATATTCTTATTATTTATTTACCTCAAAATTTATGTTGAACTTCTGATCGAATGCTGTCATGTGAATTCAGTTAGCTTATCTTTAGGAATTATCTAATGTTTTAAATTTTGGTATTCTAAGCAGAAAATTCTATTTTATCATTATCAACAAACATGAGTTTTAAATAGTTTAAAATCGAACTATTTATAGTGTAACTCACTTTTATGTCTATTGGATGCAGTTTAGAAAACCTTATACATACAGGAAAGATGAGGAGTTTTAATGGTTTATATTAACGCAACAAGGTCAAAGTCTTAAGGAAGACACAATCTCTGAAACATGAATTACGAATACAGCTATTTATTTCACACAAGAAACCGATGATATCATGGGTTTAACCATGCTTCACGATTGCATTCCATCGGTCATAAGTTTTTCACAGGGATTCAGGAATTGCTTTTACAAGTGGAACATGACTATCATCTAAATAAAATGGTTTGTAAACGCTGTTTAATTTGAATTTTTTTTATCACTTGGGCTATCTGAAAATCGAGCGAAAAATCTGTTTAATACTCCCGTGTTTTCAATGCTGATATAGCTGAAATCAGTTTTAGAACAGACTTCAGTGTAAACCAGATTATCATTTAGGTGAAAGCAAGGAAATAAGTCCAACTGATTGTATTTCGCTAAAAGTGAAAGAATATAACAGTCTATCAGATTACAGTTTCTTGAAAAGTTTTAGCGAATCGTCTTTAATTTCATATTCAGAAACAGGCAATTTTTGTTCAATTTCTTAAATATTGTACGTCAAATGAAGGAATGAGTATCAACAGCTGATTAGAAACTGAGTTGATAGTTAAGGTTTTAGTAGCGAGTGGTTTATATATATATATATATAAGTTCAAGGTTGTCTTAAGGGCTTTCCGCTGTTAAGTAATCTACGAAACAAACATACTTTTTCACCTTTTATGTTTATTTTATAAAAGTGATAGATGTAGAGAAGCTTTAATTAAGTTGTTTCTCCAATGAGTCACAAGTGTTACTTTAATTTTGTTATGTTTAGAACAGATGGATGATAATATTTACCATTTAGTTAGTAAGTAATTTACACATACTATAGTCGATTGTTTTGATAAGGTTTTTTCGGGAAAAAGTATATGCTACTATTTGATGTAAACAGAATTTGATTGTATACAAATTTATATGGAAAAATAGCACGATCCATCATAAGATAATGTAACAGTCTATTGAACTGAAAACGATGTTATGATTTTTCTTGGTTTTCGTTAATCCATCCTATGAATCAGTTAAATTGTTTAAAATAGAATTTAATCTAAATAATAATAAGATGTATTGTGTTTTTATTTTATTTCTATGATAAAATGGTTTGCTTAATGTCTCTTTATGCACTGCTACTAATCTATCTAGTTTGGTTTATGTTACATCAGTGGGTATTTGTATTAACAACATAACACATCCTAATGACAAGTACGGTGTTTTTACTCTTCAAATTGAACTTTATAAAATTTCGGGTTTTTGTCAAGAAAACCCATTAATCCTATGTTGTTCGGTTGTGTAAATTATAAACGAATACTTTTCATTTGTTCAGTGCTTTTTTTAATCTAAATGGGCAGTTCTATTTATTTTCTGAAAAACAAAACCAATACAATTGCTGAATTGGTGGTTTATGCAGACGTGATAAGTGATTTTTCACCTCATTTTATTATCCTGAATACTGTAGAATCTATTTCTCACTAGTATTTCACTTTAGTTCAAAAGGATTGACAACTATACCACATATTTTCGATACATTGAATTAAACAGTGCTAAGCAAAGGGAATGAAATTCACTAAAGAACAACTAGTATCAATATTGTTTACGATCATTAACAAATCCGTCAAATTTCTTATACTTATCAGATAATTCTATGAAAGGTGTACGAAAAAAACTCAATTTCGGATCAATAACTTTGTAAAAAGTACGTACGAGGAAATGCAGCAAGCAACAGTTGAAAGATCAACTTATTTTCAGATGAATGTATTCAGTTGCATTGGAGTTTTACTGTAAATTATTATCTTCATGTGAAAAACATAGCAACAAAAAATGTTAGAAATAGTTATTAGATGCAATGTTATTTTGTATCTCAAAAATGTGATTTATTCTGTAAACGGTATTTCAGTTATTTCAATGAACTGTCAACTAAGATTTGTGAAAAATTCAATGTTATATTCTTCATGAACCCGTTAGTCTTCGAAATTTGTATTATATTTAATTCCGATTCCATTGTTGAGACTCAAATGATTAGTATGCCAATCAATAACGTATAAAACCTTTCATGCTTAATAATTTGAAATTAATTCTACATTCATCAATCAGAAGTAGATAAATCTAGCAGAAATAAACGCGTGGTTATTCATTTTTAGACAATGTATTTTTACTCAAACAATATGTAGGATAAGGTATGAATGAAGCTGATATGATGTATGATTTATCTGGCTAAAACACTTTCAGGTACATGCTAACGGAGTAAATATATATATAAATTAGGAAATGAAAAAAAAATTAACTCACTGAATAAACAAATACATAACAATGAACACTAATTGCATTGCGTTACAGCATAATCGGTCAGTGTTATAAGTCGGGTTAACACTCGGAATAATCAGAATGATAGAGCAGTTTCTATTTTTTCCATAAAGTTTACACTACTTAAATTTCTAAAAGCTTTTGAATCGAAAGTTTCAAAAAAAAAATTGAAAGTTTTACTCATAATATTTCAGTTCTACGACCAGAATACTTACATACAAAATTTCCTATTCATAAATTACTCAAGAACACTCATTTATAGAGTTTTATTATCTCCGAAGTACATATTTTTCGAAAATGCTGAAATTTGGTTAATTTTTATCACAGAAGACATGTCGGACCTCCACGAAAACGTTAGGCGCTCTGATATAGTAATAATCGCGGGCGACTTTAATGCTCGAGTGGGTAGACTAGGTAAAAGGGAAAGATACCTGAGTGAATCTTATGGTGTCACGGCCAATAGAACAGATAATGGCGACCGCCTGCTACAGCTATGTTCAGATAACCGCCTATTCCTAGCAAACACTAATCTTAAGATTAAGGAAAAACATCTTTTGACCTGGCGACCTCAAAAGTCGTCTCAACGTTGGAACCAACTAGATCACATTGCCATCAGCCACCGATGGATAGGTTCGATAGAGGACTGTCGCTCGTTCTGGGGCACATGTTTGTATTCAGATCATGCTCTAGTGCGAGCTCGTATTTGTTTGCGCCTTACTGGACGCCAGAAAAATATCGCAAGTAAACCTCTTAGGGCTTTACCTAATGATAATCAAACTAAGAAAATATTTCAGGAGCAACTAGATAAACAGTTAGGCAACTATGAAAGTGATTCCCATCCGGAGGCAGGTTGGAATGATATCAAGAAGCCTGTGGAAACAGCAGTGATATCTGCTAGTAAGGTAAACCGTAAGGCTAGGATGAAGCTATGGATTACTGTGTAGGGATGGCAGATCGATTGATCAAGTAGGGGGCGGCTAGGGGTGGACAAACCAAAACATGGCAAAAATTCATGAAGTCACTGACAAGGGGACTGAGTCATGTCGGTAGGTTTAAACTACCTACCTACCTGGTTGGTGTCCGCGAGATGATAATAATCGATGGTTAGCGACCCTGAGTGACATGGCTCAAAACCGTTTGCAATGGCACAGGTGCATTTACTCTTTGTGTTCTCTGAAACTGTAACCTTACGAATTCCTCATCACCTCTATCTTTCTCTTTCTAAATTTACCTCACTGATTTATACTTCTTGAATAATATATTCTAATCCTAACCTCTCCGATTACTTCTAATACTTGTACTACCTCTACTACTATAGCATTTCAATTGACAATTATATCTCTGTGCTAATGTGGTAAGGCAACTTGAACTGATGTACTTACCTACGAAGTTCTACGTTGTAATTTACTGACTTC